CTAAGGGACTTCCAGGGTCCCTAACTCATTAGAAGAGCTGACATTTATTGATCTGCTCTCTCTTCTCCAAGGATCCCTTTCCATGCCATCAGCTAGGGACTTCCAGGGTCCCTAACTCATTAGAAGAGCTGACATTTATTGATCTGCTCTCTGTCCAGCCCGCAGAGGTCCCTAAGATGAGTTGGACCTCATCCACCCTCAGGGACCTCAGTCCAGAAGGAGACATAGTGTGACCAGTGCTCAGGTTCATGGGAGCTAAGGGACCACAGGGATGTGACTGAGGTTCTGGCCACTGGGAACCAGTGTGGGCGGACTTCTGAGCTGGGTTAGGGCAGACTAACTCCCAGCGAGACAGAGACCCAAAGAAGTGGGAGAGTTACATGGAGGTCTTCCGGCTGTGTGGCCGGCACACCAGGGCAGGCAGGGCTTGCAGCCTGTTAAGAACACTCCTTCTCAAGGAGACCCAAGGACATTCAGGGATCAGGCCTCCCAGCATCCGTGTGGAGAACTGTCAGCTCAGAGCTGCTCAAAAGTAGAAATGCCAGCTATGGGTGATGTCATCACCCCAGTCCTTCACCCCCCCTGGGAGGTCTGGTGTCCAGTGGGTGGAGCAGAGCAGCCCCTGCCAGGCTGACCCCACCATTCTGCCACTAAAATGCCCGTTCTGGATGGCGGTTGGGAGAGGAGGTGGTCACAAGTGGGCTGAGAGTGAGAGTAAAAAAATCATTTGAAGAAAAACTTCCTGTTCCTCCTCAGAGATGGCAGAGCCAGAGGACCTTTTTGCCTCCCTCCTGTCAGACTTTGCTGAGGATTCACTTCAGCATTAACCCGGTCCCCAACTTTCCCCGACAACCCCTTCCCTCTAATGCAATCCCTCCCCGCTCCCCGTTTCTGAGCTAATCTGGGGTGTCAGGCTGTCTCAGGGGATGGAGAGGAACAGAGCTGTACTTCAGGCTGAGCTAGTGGGATTTGTCCATCAGCCCGGGCACTGTCCACGGGAAGAGGGCTCACAGCTGGGGGACGTTCCCGGGGACGCGGCAGACTCTTGGGAGTGGGGGCTGTGCAGCTGCTTGGGGGTGGGGGAGGGGTGGGGAGGGGTGGGCGTCTGGGTGGAGCGGGAGCTCCCCTAGCATCGGTCCACACAGGAGGTGCCTCAATTTGGAGAAGGGCGTCCAAAGCCAGCCCGAGAGCACCACCAGGTCGCCAGAGGAGCCGGCGCACCCGCTCCGCGCTGCAGCCGGCCGGTCTCGCAAAGCCCCTCAGAACCAGCCCGGAAAGACCCAGCGCCGGGACCCAGCGCTCGCCTCCCGCGTCCGTGGCTGCCGCAGGCGCATTTCCTCGAAGTCTGGCCGCGAAGGGCTGGCTCCCACCGCACGCCGGTGCGTGTCGCCCCGAGTTTCCTCCACGCCCTCCTCGCCGGCCGCCGCAGGGGAAAGGCTGGCGCGGGATTCGCCCCCCGCCCCTGTCGCAGGAAAGCCCCGGGAGCCGCCGACGCAGCGCATTTCCCGGAAACCCTCTCTCCGGGCGGGTTGCGGGGAGGCCGGGGCTCCGCACGCAGACGACCCGCGCCCTCCCCCACCGCCGGGGAGCGAAGAGGCCGGGAAAGGCGAGCCCGGCGCCCGGAGAGGGAGGCCGGGAACCTCCGCCCCCCAGTCTGGGACGGGGCATTCGGCGCCGCAGCAGGAGCCCTAGACTCGAGGCGCGCTCCCAGCCCGCAGCCAGGGAAAGACGTTCGAGGGCCAGGGCTGAGGACGCCTCTCACTGCGGCCCCGCGGCCCGCCCCCAGCCCCTCCGGCCCCGGCCCGCGCTCTGCCCCTTTAAGAAGCCCAGGTAGGCAGGCCGGGCCGCGGGACCGCTCCTATGGCAACTCGCGAGCCGCGGCGGCTTCATGAATATTCCGGGGCGCGGGAGCCCGAGCGCTGCCGGAGGGCTCTCCGGGGGAGGCGCCCGTTGATGTAAGCCCGGCGGGCCGCTGGGCTCCGCGCGGCTGCGGCGGGGGCCCCGGGACGGCCCGGCCGGGCTCGGCCGGGAGAGGGAGGCGAGCTCGCGGGGAGCTGGCCACAAAGCCCGGGCAGCCGGACCGACGGACAGCCGCCCGCGCCGGGACGCAGCGGGAGCCGCGGGCCGTGCGCTCTGCGCTCCCGAGCGGCTCCCGGAGCGCCGCGGCCCGGCGCGGCTGGTGCCGGCGCCCATTGTTCCCCGCGGGGGCGGGGCGCCTGGAGCCGGGCCGCGCGCCGCGCCCCTGAGCGCGGGAGGGAGGGCGGGAGCGCGGGGTCCCCGCGCCCAGCCCGGGCGCGAGGAGGCGCAGCGCGGAGAGCCCGGGACGGGAGCCGGACTGGGAGCCTCCCGCGGCGCGCAGCATGGGCGACTGAGGAGCCCCGCGCCGGCCGCGAAGGACTCGTCCCCACGGGCTGACTGACAGGCGGGCGGACCTGGAGCGGCTCCGCGGCGCCGCGCCCCTGTGCCCGGCCCGGCCCTGGCGCCATGGACAAGCTGCCGCCGTCCATGCGCAAGCGGCTCTACAGCCTCCCGCAGCAGGTGGGGGCCAAGGCGTGGATCATGGACGAGGAAGAGGACGCCGAGGAGGATGGGGCCGGGGGCCGCCAAGACCCCAGCCGCAGAAGCATCCGGCTGCGGCCGCTGCCCTCGCCGTCGCCCTCCGTGGCCGCGGGCAGCGCGGAGTCCCGGGGCGCGGCCCTCGGGGCAGCGGACAGCGAGGGGCCGGCCCGCGGCGCGGCCAAGTCCAGCACGAACGGCGACTGCAGGCGCTTCCGCGGGAGCCTGGCCTCGCTGGGCAGCCGGGGCGGCGGCGGCGGCGCGGGCAGCGGCAGCAGCCACGGGCACCTGCACGACTCCGCGGAGGAGCGGCGGCTCATCGCCGAGGGCGACGCGTCCCCTGGCGAGGACAGGACGCCCCCGGGCCTGGCGGCGGAGTCCGAGCGCCCCGGAGCCTCGGCGCAGCCCGCAGCCTCGCCGCCGCCGCCCCAGCAGCCGCCACAGCCGGCCTCCGCCTCCTGCGAGCAGCCCTCCGCTGACACCGCTGTCAAAGTGGAGGGAGGCGCGGCCGCCGGCGACCAGATCCTCCCCGAGGCTGAGGTCCGCCTGGGCCAGGCCGGCTTCATGCAGCGCCAGTTCGGGGCCATGCTCCAACCTGGAGTCAACAAATTCTCCCTGAGGATGTTCGGCAGCCAGAAAGCCGTGGAGCGCGAGCAGGAGAGGGTTAAATCGGCGGGGTTTTGGATTATCCACCCCTACAGCGACTTCAGGTAAGGGGCCGGCGATGTCCTGTCCGGTGAGGGCTCTGCGCGGTGGCCGCAGGCACGCTTCCTCTCCCCGCCCTGCCTCCCAGCCGGAGTTAACTTTCCTTCCTTCCTTGCGCTGGGAGCTCCGAGAGAAGTGGGGAGCCTCTAGGCTCCCAGACACCCCCAGCCCTTCTGCACTGCGCTGGGAACTTTCTTCTGTGTTCAGACGCTGGTCTTCCTGGGTCTGGGCCGCACTGGAGAATAGGCTGAAAAGGTGCTCTGAGCCTGGCCTAGCCCTAACCGCAGCCGGGACAGGGCTCTGCCACCTTAAGCCACACATTCCACCCCCCCCCCCCATCAAGGCTGCAGAGTCAGGGTGACCATCCTGGAGGCTCCAGGTCATTCTTCCTGCAGAGAGAGCAGGGCCATGAAGGGAGACAGACCTCTTAGCAGCCAGGCCAGATCCCTGGGTGCTGACCGCAGGCATTGTCTGCCTTTTGGTGCCCTGGGAGACTGCAGCCAGGCCTCTGGGGGACTGAGGGCACTGGGGCCTAAGGCCCAGAACGAAAGCCCTCTCTGCACCTGCCTTAACCCTGGGCCAAGCCCCTCATTCTGAGTAGTGGACCAGGGAGCAGGCACTCTGGGCAGATGGCATCACACTGGCAAGGCGGCATGACCTTGCTCATGGTGGTCAGTGAAGCTGCCTGGTGTTCTGACTGGTGAGCAGCTGTCCTGCGACCCAAGCTTGTCCAGTGCCCCATCCCCACCCCAGAGGCCCACGCTCTGGCAGCTGATAGGTCTCATGGGTCAGTTGTGGGTTCCCAAACAAAAGATGTGACTGCCAGTTAGGGAGAGGGACCCTGCCCCCTCCTGTACCACCTGAGTCAGATGCCACCGAACAGCAGATACCACTAGTGCTTGTGGGCATATCTGTGCAAAAAGAGGGATTGTTGGTCGCCTCTGGGGTTGGGATCAGGGGTACCCTTACCTCAGTCAAGGTCCTGAGATACCCCAGTGCCCCTCTTGGCTTTCCTGATACATAAGGTTGAGATGGAGGTCTGGGAAACATTCATCTTTTTGAGCTGGGTTTAATTCTCTCATTCTCTGTCTCTCTCTGGCCCTGCCCCCTATTTGTCTCCCTGCCTTGCCTACCCCGCTTGCCTGCCTATATAAATGAGCATTTTGCCAACCCAGAGCCCTCTTTGCAAACTCCAGGGAAGCTGGGTTTGTAATGAGAGCAAAGCCATTTTCCATCCAATGAGAGAGATTTTTCATGCTGGGAAGGACCAGTCAGATAACACTTGATGGCTTAAAATAGGTGGTGAACAAAGGCCCCCCTTTTTTTCTTTTGAGAGGCTACTCTTCCTAACCCTAATATCTAGGGTTCCCCCTTTCCAGAGGATGAGGGAGACCAAAAAGGGCAGGCTAAACAGAGTCATAGTCATCAAATTGTGTGAGCCTATGTGGGACCCTCCTGTGAGGAACTGGGTTCCCGTGGCTGGGTTCCCAGTGCCAGGTTCCTAATGAGTGGACTCCCCTTTGGCCAGTATTGGGGCCTGAGGATCCCAGGCTGAGCTAGGGAGGAGTGCACATAAGCCATGTCTCCTCCACCCCCCAGGTATCCCAGGTTTCTCCCTTCTCTGAACGCAGTGGTGGTGACAGATAGGCTGTTCCCGTACCAAGCACTGGCGATTGTTAAGGACCCTCCTCACCCTTGCTCAGCTCCCTTTGCTGTCAGAAGGCCTCTATCTGGGTTCTCATAACCAATCCCATTGCCCAGGGTGGGGGGCCTGCAAGGGACCAACTCCAGGCATGCGTAGCCTCCATCGACAGACAGCAAGCAGTGATTGAGGCCCTTTTGGGTGCTGGGTTCTGCCCTCCTAGTCTCCATTACTTGGATGCCAAAGAGTTCAGACTGGGTTGATTTCATCAAAGGGGATCCTACCCCACCTTCCCAGTCTTACCTTTGTCCCTCCTGGTAGGTCTGTCTGCAGTCCCGCTGCTGCAGAATCTCCCAGGAACTGCAAGCTGCCTGGGACCTGGCCGCAGGGGAGGGTGGTGGGGACAGAGAGAGGGGGATGCAGTAGGATTGTTAAATAGGCAACAGGAAAGGGGGCAGAGTGGGCTTTGGGTTTGTGCAATAAGCAACAGGGACTGGTGGCTGGAAGCCCACATCCTCTTTGCACAGCCTTGGAGCTATCTGGAGCTGGGTAGGGTGTAAGGAAAGAAATCCAAGAAAGACCATCTAAGAGTGTGTCTGGAAGGGCAGTGATCATGCCTCTCCTGCCTCTGGGCCAAAACAGCTAGTCTCATCTTCAGAAGGTCAAAGAGGCAAGGGCCTAGCTAAGTCTCCTAAGCTTAGAAAACCCACCACTCAATCCCACCTAACCCCCACCTTCCCTAGCACCCCAAACCTCAGTCCCTAGAGCTTCAGCCACTAGCCTTGGGCTTCTATATGGAGCCCATCCCTGTTGCCCACCTTAGGCTTCAGAAGCTTCTGCAAGCATTGCTCAGGCCAGTTGAGGATTTATTCGTCATTTTGACAGGCAGGAAGCATTGATCGAGCAGAATTGGTTTAATAAAGAATCACCAGCAAACCATGATAGATTGAGTTTGCGGTTAGGAGTTCAGGGCTGGCTGTCATGGGCTGCTTCTAGCATCTCCCCTTCCTGGGGAGCAAGGCTGGGTGCTTTTTCCAGGGCTGGAGTGGGCTGTGCTCTGAGGGGCTGATGATAGGCTTTTCTAGGCTGTCCCCTTCCCCCCACACCATGCCCTGGCCACCCCCATGGCTCCTCCGGGCTCCACAGCCTGTCTGGCCTCCCCTTTCCTCCCACTCCCCATTTGCCTTTTGAAAGTTGTATTCGTGGTGTGTTAAGGGAATTGGTCAGGACACAGCAGCCCCTTGGGACATTGCTCTCTGGGCTTCTGTCCAAGGTTGGCTGGGCTCTTGGGTTCTGGGTGGGTCCTTCCTTCCACACAAATGGTGTCCTGGAGAACCTAGAACAAATGAAACATAGTATCTGGATAATCTTATTTTATCAAGAGGAGAGAAAGGGAGTGGGAACCCCGAGTGCAGATGTAGCTGGTTTCGTTCCCAGAAGCTGGTCAGGCTTAGGCAGCTTGCCTGGGCATGTGTATTTAGATGTCTGTCTGAGTGGGTGTCTTGGGGCTGCGTGGGTGGATGTGGGGGCTGGCAGGGAAGTCCCTATGTGGGACGTCAGTTCTGGAACTATTGCATGTCCCCAGAGCTAGCTCAGCCTTGAGAATGGAGGCAGGCAGAAGCTTGGCCTTTCTCATCCCCAGCCACTGCCCTCTCCTAGCCTGAGCCTCCTGAAGCCACGAGGAAGGGAAGGGAAGGGAAGGGGGGCCTTCAAGTGTCCTCTCCTTGGGGCAGAAACAGCTGGGCTCTAAAATCATGGAAACTGGGCCAGTGGCCTGGCAGGTCCCATGGGTAGCGTGAGCTGACTTTCTGCTACTGGTCCCTGGCACGTTGTCACTGCCATTACTCACCTCCCATCACCTCCCCAGCCCTGTTTTATGCTATGGGGTCCTGCTTGGGTAATGAGCCTACTTTGAGCCTCAGTTTTCCTATCTAGAAAATAGGGCTCCTGTTGCCTATGGCTGTGTCACACACAAACTCGTACAGCTGTGGTGCCCTGCAGCGGTGAGAAGCTGCAGTGAACTGTGTGCACACAACTCCCCTGCCCTCACTGCCTCCTCCCCTTGGTCCTGGGCTCCTGGGCAGACCACATGGGGCTCTGTCCTGGGCTCAGTCCAGGGATTCTGAACTGCTGGGGGTCAGAGACCTCACTGAGAACCTGCTGGAAACTATAGAGTCTCTATCCAGAATGATACATAGATGTCTGCACACGTGCAGTGTGGCACTCAATTTCTGGTGTCTGTGGTTCCCCTAAGTTGAGGACCATCTGGAGACTCGAGGTTGTGAACTCCACTCTAGGCCATCCCAGAATAGAGCCTGGGCCTGGCAAGAAGCATGCACTGGCCTCCTAGAGCCAGCCTTGTCTGGAGCCTGGCGGGGGTCCCTCAGTAATCTGGGGCTTGGGCCTCCCAAGGAGACGGTGAAGGGGAAGTAGGTGGCAACCTGGCTCTGGGTCTGGGGTTTCTGAGGCGCCTTCTTGGGTGGGCCTTCCTGGGGGCCACTGCCCAGGGATGCTGCTGCTGCTGTAGTGCGAGGAGCCAGGCTGGAAGGAGCTGCAGGCCCTGCGGGCACTGGAGGGGAAGGTGCCTTGTTGCAGAGGGGAATTCCGAGGTGAGCTGCCTGGGCGGTGCTGTCAGCCGGCACAGTGGGCAGCAGGGTTCTCCAGGGATGAGACCTGCCCCAGCTGACAAGGCGGGGGCTGGTGGCGCTCAGGGCCAAGGTGCTCCCATGATGCTGGGTGCACAGAAACCCGACAGAGGCAGAGGGCCAGGATCCCCACACTGCCTGGGTAGAGCGGCCTGGGCTCCAGGTTCTCCCTGTTGGAAAGCTCCAGTTCCTGGTCTGGAGCTACATGATGAGGCTGCCTTCTCCCCTGCCTGGCCTGACCTCTTCCGTCCCCTTAGCTGCTGTGAGCTGCGAGGCGTTGGGGCTGTCAGGGAGCCTGGCTTACATAGGAAGCTTCCAATGGTGCTGGTCTGTCTGCCTGTCCATCTACCCTCTCTCTGATGTTTTAAGGCCCAGTGTCCCTGAGTCTTCTGGGACACACTCTTAGGCCACTCTGGCCACTGTCCATCTCTCCTTCCCTGACCACCTTGTGGCATTTGGATGGAGCATTTGGATGTGTTTGTTATAATGCAGCTTTCCATGCTGTAATGTCATCCAACTCACGTGGGGATCTTTTTAAAATACAGATTCCCATTCAGTAGTTCTGGGGTGGGTGGGATGCTACATTTCTGGTAAGCACCCACACGCCACTAACGCTGCTGGAGCACAGACCAGGGCCGTGCCTGGAGTATTGAGGTGATAGGCCATGTGCTCGTTCCATGCTTAGCCTAGGCTGCCTAACTGAGCCACCTGAGGGCAG